AATGCTGTGCTCATTTTTTTGTGTGTGTGTGTGTGTGTGTGTGTGTGTGTGTGTGTGTGTGTGTGTGTGTGTGTGTGTGTGTGTGTGTGTGTGTGTGTGTGTGTGTGTGTGTGTGTGTGTGTGTGTGTGTGTGTGTGTCTGTGTCTGTGTGTGTCTGTGTCTGTGTGTGTGTGTGTGTGAAATGCCTCTGTACATAGATGGCTCTGCTAGTGCCTAGCCACAAATGAGTTAATTAGTAGACCTTCTGACCGTACCTAATTTCACCTTTCCTTGAATTGGCAGGAAAAACGTATTTTTTACTAATGCTCTGAATATCGATGGTGTTATTTTCATTATAGAAATTATAATTACTATAATGTTATAAACATTAGTAATAGCATAATAAGATAACTTAAAATATTTTCGTAAATCAAGGAAAAGGGTAAATGGACAAGACAGGCAGTACTCATAATTGTCTCATTGGTGACTTAGTACAAGTGTAGCCATCCATGTATAAAAACAATTAATAAAGTAAACTGACAGTGGGCATGGCATGCATGTCATACCATTGCCTGTCAGCATTGGGTTAATATAAGTGATAGTATACTTGTCACAGACATAATTTCTTTAACAGATTTTACCTATTTTTTTTAACATACAATATATTGACAAAATGTATTAATCCTTTCTATCACAGAACAGAATGTAAAGCTAACACTGAAAGATACCAATTAAACTTATAATCTTCAATATCCCCCCCCAAAAAAAATATATATATTTAAATATTTATATATATAAATATTTATATATACATATATATATTTATATATATATATATATATATATATATATATATATATATATATATATATATATATATATATATATATATATATATATATATATATATATACAACATGTATTCATATATTTATATTTATATTTATATTTATATTTATATTTATATCTATATTTATATTTATGTTTATGTTTATGTTTATGTTTATATTTATATTTATATTTATATTTATATCTATATCTATATCTATCTAGGACCTGAACTTGAAAAAGTAAACAGATCTTTCATATAATCTGGGACATAGTTAGGGTCTGGGTAATGGCTACAGATCTACATGGAACCCTTTGAAAGTAAAACTTGCTTGTAATTAACTTTTCTGACTCTCAAAATATTCATACTTTTATGATATCATAAAAATAGCACATTACCTTATCTCTCTTCAATCTTCTAAGTTCTCGCAATTTCCATAGCTCATATTCTGCATCATCAGCTTCATCATCTGTGTTGATGTTATCAATGGGATCACCATTTTCAATGGCATTGCGGATGTTGGCTGCCTGGCGGTGCTCATGTTCGATCATGCGGAGTGTTTCTCTGCGACGTTCTTCTACCCTCTTCCTGGTCTCTACTTCTTGCTAGAGTAGGATATATGTATAACTTTAGAAACAAAAATATTGGAAGAGACAAAGCAGTGAAGATGAAGGAAAGAATAAATTAAGAAAAAAATATCAGTTGCATTTAATTCTGTAATCATATGCATACAAGCACAAAGATCTATAGTTGTTTGAGCTTCCAGGCTTTATTCCATTATTTTAGTCTTACCTGCTTTACTTTGGCCTGCTCTTGTTCCTTTTGGTGAATTGTGACTCGGTCTTTTCTTCTGACAAAAACTGGTTTTAGTCTGGGC